TTCGTAGATTCAGGCAAAATAATAATCTGTTTTTTCAGGAAAGCAAAAGCTAAGTAAATATATGACCAGCAAAACTGAATTCCCAAAAACAAATTTTTTAGTTTTGGTGAGAAACAAAAGGTTATATACACGCACACATACTAACATTTTAGGTGTTACACTGTTTTTCTTCTGCTTAACTTGTGCATGTGGAGTTTTGGCATGGCATCACTGCCTTTATAAGCCTGATGACTAATGCTTTCTACTGAAACTCCCTAAGTATGTTTCCAAGTGTGCCTCTCAGCTAATGGACAGGTCTCAACTTAGTAACCATAGTAGAAAACAGCCTAGACTAAATAGCCATCGTTAGTATCCCTCAAATTTTGTAAACTGATTTCTGCTTCAGACTCATTTAAAAAATTTATTATTAATGAATTTGACTTTAAAATGCAGTCCATTTTCAGTTGTCCTTGCATTATTTTCATGCATTATTATTTACTGGGAAGAATTTTACTGTATTCTGCCTATATTTTTTTCACATTTGGTATCTTTAGTTTGATGAAACGAATAAAAACAGTTGTTTGGTAGGATAAACTCATGTGCGATTTATACTAATTTTACTATTACTTGAAGAATATCTTCAGAATTATCCACTGCACCTTACTCAACCCTCAAGAGAGTTAATTACAACTTTGCAGATTAACTGAGCAGATTTCAAGTATTTTTAAGTGTAATTTGTCCTCTGTTAGTTTAACTTATGCTGTAATGTGAAAGCCAATTTATTGCATATGCTAAAAGATTTAGTCATTCTTTCAACCAGTATTTATCTTAAATGAAATAATTTTCACCCAGTAATAAATATGTATAGGAAAATTGTGTCTGCAAGAGGGCTACACAACCCTTCCTAAGAAGGAAAACATCTTATGTTTCATTAAAAAATCAGATTGAATAGGAACCTACTTTCTATATTTTTATTCACCATACTCAAGAACATTTTTTATCTCAAATATGTTGTGTCATGTGCACCTCACTTAAATATAAAGAGCTAAAAAAAGAACTCATTTCATCCATTCAGACAGTTCTCACAGGAACAATTTACTGTCAGCCCAAATGGAAATAGCTTAACATGAT